GGCCATTTTCCCTGAAGGGTGATTTCTCACTTTCCCTCTCATTGTTTATCTCCATGTCTCTCTAAGGAGGACATTTACCCTATGGCAAAAGCCATATTTAAAAAAAAAAAAAAAGTAAGACATTGATTGTTTCCAAATATAATGGTTTGTTTTTATTACTCATTCATTCAACAGATATCTGAGCTTGTACCAGGCGCCAGATCTTACAATAAATACCAAGGCAAACATATGAGCGAATAGGGAGCTCATACTTTAGAACAGGGATTGGCGAGCATTTTCAGTAAAGGGGCAAATAGTAAATGGGAAATGACTTAGGCTTTGTGGGTGCTATTATCTTTGTTGTAACTACTCATCTCTGCCCTTGGAGTGTGACAGCAGCCATAGGCCCTATGTAAATGAGTAGATGTGGCTGTATTCTAGTAACTATTTTGAAACTTTATTTACAAAAACAGGCAGCAGGCTGGTTTTGGTCTGTGTGCCATAGTTTGCTGACCCCTTGGCCTAGTATTTTGTTGTTGTTTTCTGTTTTTGTTTTTGTTTTGATCTACATATGAGTGGTCTTCAAAAAGGCCATGGAAAATGTGTATTCTGAAAAAAGTATGCATGGATTTTAAACAAATTTTTGCACTAAACTGAATTTTTTGCTTTTATTCCACTTTTTAATAAACTTTTTGAATTCCCCTTGTTTAGTATTGATTACTCTTTATTCTTACCGTCTTTTTTTTTTGAGAAGTTTTTGCTATAGGGCACGTGAGTTTGCCAGCCAGACAGAAAAAGATAGAAAGATAGAAAGTGAGAAATCACCCACCGGGGGGGGATGGCCGCGCTGCAATCCCTTCTCCTCCATTCTCCTCTTGGGATCTTGGGCACGCATGCACACACACCCGGCATGACTTTAAGCCACTAGGCCCAGGACTCGAACTGCAGTCGACTACATGGGAGTTCAGCGACATAGCCATTTGGCTAACTGCTGATCCCCTTACCTTCTTTTTAAAACCTTCTCTTTTTGAGTTATGAAAAGTCAGTTTCTGGTACTCTAGCCTCTCTGAAAGTCTGTTCTGTCTGTCGTCTTCTTACTGTGTCTGCTAGATTGGTGTTTCGCAAGGTCCTGGTTTGCTTTCTCTGAACTCTCTTGACAATCTCATCTCATTGCAGCATGTCCAAGTTCTCTCCATCCTGATCATTCTCCTTTACCTGGTCCTATATTCCTGTCTGCCTGTTTAGTGTGTCTTTGTCTATCTGTACCACCAGCACCTCACATTTTGTGTAACTATTGGGTTGTTGGAAAAGTCATGACTACTTTTCTGTTTTTCTGTGCAAAAATGTTTCATGATTTTTCTGACAACCCAATAAAAATGAAGCCACTGTCATTTCCATTTTTCTAGCATTACCTGCTTTTCCTTATCCTCTTTCTGGTTATTTGTCCCATAAGGTTGCAGTAACAATGAATTATGATAACACAGGTGAAAGACTAGCATAGTACCTAGCACCCAAGAAGCAATCTACTGATAATTCCCAGTTCTCTTCTTTCTCTTAATGGCATTGTCCCATTTACCTTGATTTGAAACCTTGGAGAGAGTTTTGCTATAGGGTGCATGTCCTCGCCAGAGACACAAAGAGTCAGAAAATGAGAAATCACCCTCCCAAGGAGGATGGTCACACTGCAATCCCTTCTCCTCTTTTCTTCTCTTGGGATTTTAGGTACGCATGCATACACACCCAGTGTGAGTTCAAGCTGCTGGGCCCAGGACTCAAACCATAGTTGACTGTGTGGGAGCCCAGCGACATAACCAATATGCAATCTGTTGGTCCCCAAGGGTTTTTCTAGAAGCTACACCTGGCAACTCATATCACATGGCCATTCCGAATAGCTGCTCAAACAAAATAAGGGCTCTGTTAAGAAAGAGAGGGTGAATATTGGGTAGGTAACCACCAGTGTCTGCCAACACTCCCATCATCACTTACCTGTGTGTCTACAGTAGCTTCTAACTCATCTTCTCACCCTACTGCCTCCCTTTTTAAATTCATTTCACACAGTTTTCAGACAAATCCTTCTAGAACTTGGCTCCAAATTGATTTTACTACTTTTAGGACATTGCTGGTATTTAAAATTCCAGAGTCCATAGTTTGGTATCTAAGAACCTCCATAGTAGTTCCCATGGCTCCAGATAGCTACTAGATCATAAAGATCTGTCACAGATCAAGAACTAAGGTCAGGCTAGGGAATCCATGCTGAATCTTTGGAATTTCAATGGCCACTTTAAAAACTCTAATACATCATTTGAATCAGGTTGCCTGCTACCAAAGAGAAATACTATAGAAAAGAACAAGATTACAGACTAATTGCTTTTTAAGAAAACATGTGACTTCTACTCAGTTCTTGTTAAAGAGAGGACTTGACCAGGGTGCTTATAGCAAAGTATTCTTTTTTTTTTTTTTTTTTGAGATGGTTTTGCTATAGGGCTCGTGCACTGACCAGAGAGAGAGAGAGACAAAGAGATAGAAAGTGAGAAATCACCCACCGGGGGGGATGGCCACACTCCAATCCCTTCTCCTCCATTCTCCTCTCAGGATCTTGGGCACGCATGCACACACGCCTAGCTTGAGTTTAAGCCACTGGGTCCAGGACCCAAACCACGGTCAGCTACATGGGAGTTCAGTGACATAGCCATTACACTAACTGCTGGTCCCATGTAGCAAAGTATTCTTTTTTTTTTTTTTTTTTTTTAGAGATTTTTGCTATAGGGTACATGTGCTCGCCAGACAGACAGAAAGCGAGAAATCACCCCCCAGGGGGATGGCCACACTGCAATCCCTTCTCCTCCATTCTCCTCTTGGGATCTTGGGCATGCACGCACATGCGCCCGGTGTGAGTTTTAAGCCACCAGGTCCGGGACGCGAACCACGGTCGAATACGTGGGAGTCCAGCGACATAGCCATTACACTAACTGCTGGTCCCCACCCCCCACCCCCCATGTAGCAAAGTATTCTAAGACCAGGCTGAAGATTATGACATCCTCCTATCTATGGAGATTAGTCAGTTTATAACTCACATTCAGTTTTATGGAGAGTAAAGGTAAAGAATTGGAGAGCTTGACAGTCTTTACCTAGTATGTTGGGACCTCCAGCCACCTCTCAGTTGGCAGTCCCTATAAAGCATAATCACTTGGTCCCTGTGTTCTCTTACTAACTCATGGGGACAAAACTTTACCCTAGGACTTGCAGCTCTTACAGACATGGGTGCCAGAAATAAAGTAGGGGCTGTAATTTTAACTAGCTCTGCCTTAAACAGTACCACCTGTTGCCATCTATCTGTGGATTTACTCCATCTTGCTCAAAGGCCCCAGATGCCACGGGGTAGCTTCCTTGCTGTATGAAGGGGAGTGGATATTTGCCTCTTCACAGAAATGATGAGATGATCACATTTTAACTTTATATACTCCATGGCTCTAACTCTGGGGAGCATGAGGAAGATTGAGGTGTGGCTACTCTCTGCCACTCACCCAGCTCCCTAGCAGGCATTCATAATTTAGATATATTAATGGAGTCATAACCATCAGAGAAACATATTCTGCTTTTGTAATAATGGAAGAGCATTTAGATCCTGAGGATTTTTATAACAATTGCTTTTGTCTTACATGTCCAGAATAAAGAAATTTGGGGAATAAAAATTTAGGTGATACAAATAGAAATAAGTAAAAAATATTTTGAAAATCTTATCATTTAGAGTTTTTTTTTTCGTTTTTGTTTGTTTGTTTTTTTGCCATAGGGCGCATCATCACTAGAGAGAGAGAGAGACAGAGAGGGAGAAGGTACTTCCCAATGGACTGTGATCATACCCAACCCCTGCTCCATTTCTTCACACTGTTGAGATTTTGGGCACACATGCACATGTGCTTGGAATGTTTTTCAAGCCATTGGGACTCGAACTGCATGGTCAGCCATGTGGGCTCTGACTCCCTTAACTGACAAGTCATGGAGCCTGATTCGAAGATGACTACTTCTAGTATTTTTTCATATGCATATAAAATGGAGTAATTCTGTAATACTACTTATATTTTTCATCCGATAATCTGTCATAAATGTGATCAAATATGGAGAGTCTCTAATAGTTCTAAAATCCTTTTTTTTTAAAGTTCATCTCTTCCATTAGCAAGACAGACATATAGAGGGTGTGCACCCCCAAAACAGTCTTGATATCATGATCCACCTTCACTCCAGGCACCCGTGGATCATGGGCACATGCATGCCTGATGTACTGGGAGGTCTCTGTTCGGAAACCCTGCACTATTGCTGTGTCACCATCCAGCCCCTAAAATTCTTTAACTTTATGCTCTTATATCAGAGGAGATAAAAATTGAGCTTCTGTTTATTGTAGTTGTAGTTTGAAAAGATAGGCCTCCCTCCTAATACTGTGTCACTGATCTTCCTTCATTTCAGTAAACGCTAAGCTTAAACTTCTTACTGTACCACATAAAACATTTTCTTAACCTCACAGGTAACCTTTTCACAAAATCC